AATAAAATTTGGGGAATTGATTTTTAAAGGGAAAGAATGGAAATATTTGTATTTTTAAAGAATTTTTGTAATTAAATTTGTTTTTATTAAATAAACATGTAATTATTTACTAATTAGTCTAACTTGATCTAACCTCAAATAAACTGACCTAACCTAGCCAAAAAAAATATTTTCATTTTTCCAAATTTTAATTTATATTTCTGAAATCAGCATTAAAAACGACATTCAAAAATATATATTTATTTCTATTTGAGCTTAACAACAAGTTCAACAATTCCGAAACTTATCTTCCTTTATAAGATCCTAAAAAGTATTTATAGGCTGAAGATAAGAACATAGAACCCATGTTAGTTTTACAAGTCACTTCAAGTCCTGCCGATTCAACCCTTCAACAACCAAATATTTTGCAGTATTCAAGACAACGCCAGCTTAGTTCACCACACTAGCTAGAGTATTTGGTCGATGTCAACCTCACTTCTTGAATTTGTTTTATATAGCGCATTTCGTTTAAGAATGTAATTCATTTAATTGGATCAATATCAACCTCACTCTTTTAAATTATATTATATAGCGCATTTCATTTTAGAATGTAATTTAATTGGGTCGATGTCAACCTCACTTCTTGAAATAATTTTATATAGCGCATTTCGTTTAAGAATGTAATTTAATTGGATCGATGTCAACCTCACTTCTTGAAATAATTTTATATAGCGCATTTCGTTTAAGAATGTAATTTAATTGGGTCGATATCAACCTCACTTCTTGAAATAATTTTATATAGCGCATTTCGTTTAAGAATGTAATTTAATTGGATCGATGTCAACCTCACTTCTTGAAATAATTTTATATAGCGCATTTCGTTTAAGAATGTAATTTAATTGGATCGATGTCAACCTCACTTCTTGAAATAACTTTATATAGCGCATTTCGTTTAAGAATGTAATTCAATCAATTGTCTTATTTTCTTTAATGTAATAAGCTGTATCTTTTTCACTTAGGAAGTTTGTTATAAGAGCAAATTTTCGATTCATCTACGGAATTTTGTATAGCATAATGAATTGTTTCCTATTCTCAACAAGAGTTTCACAAATTATGATATAATCTTAAACGTATTTATGCCCATATGTATGTTTGTATATTTATGTGTATATAATTTTCATATTTACTTGTTCAGAACAACTTATATTGTGATCACGAATGTAAAATAGTAGCTAGAATATTTTAATACTTTATGCAGCTAATATTTTGTTGATTTTAAATCACTTTTAATAAGTACATTTGACTAACAAAACACAATTTTTTAAATTGTCTAGATTGGCAAAAAACTTCAGTTTGACTTTTCAAGTTTATTATGTACTGAATAATAAGAAAGACTGAAAGTTCCATAGAAATTCGAGAACTGAGAAGACATGTATTGCAACTGAAACAATATTGACCCAGTAATGTTTCAGTTATGTACTGATGGTTCCATTAAACTCCAGAAATGATGTGTTACATATTGTAGCTGAAACATTGTTAGTCTAATAATGTGTCATCTACTGACTGAAAGTTCTATAAAGACTTGAAACTAAGATAACACTTATCATATCTGAAACAATGTTAGGCCGGTTATGTTTCTTTCACTCACGTAATGGAAGTTGTATAAAAATCAAGAACTGATGCTACACGTATCTGAAAAATTGTTAAACCAATAATGTTTTCTCTACGGCCTCAAAGTTCTATAAGAACTCTAGAACTGAGAAAAACTAACTGTATCTAAAAAAATGTTAGGCTGTTAGCATTTCAGTTACGAAATTCCCATGAAAATTCCAGTATTGATGCAACAAGTATTGTATCTGAAACATTGTTAGGCTGATAATGTTTCAGCTACGAATTTAAATTAAAGTTCCATAGAAATTCCAGAACTAATAAAACACTAATTGTTTGTGAAACAGTGTTAGTTAGATAATGTTCCAGTATCGTTGCAATAATATCAAAGCAGCATTAAAAATTGTATGATTCCTAAAATGTTACATTTTCACGAGCCACACGCGTATATGTGTGTGTATATATATATGCATATGTTAATTAAATACTTCTCGAATTTCTAGGTCTTGGATGGACCCCAATTTAGTAATGAGCTCCACTGATTCAAATTTCAACCATAAAATTGGAGGTATACCCTGTGTAGCAGCTACCTCTCGATACACAGCTCCAGTCCACATTGACGTCGGAGGAACAATCTATACTTCATCGTTGGAAACCCTCACCAAGTAGGCTTACAATGTGTTAGATAGGTAGAGCATTGTGTGTTATGTTTAAAACCTTTGCACTAAGAAGTCAAAACATCATTGTTTTTAATATGTGTACACGAGCGATTTACTTCTGTCAAACAAACTGGCCTACATTACTTATCAGTCTTTTAGCCAATAGCGTTTCACGAAAAATGTTCCCCAGGAAATTGCATCCCTTTGACTTCCCTTTCAAAATATTTCCTGAGCTTAGTAATAAATCCTGAGTATGTTAAATCCGGAAATTTATCGAATTTACTACAAGTATGCTAGAACAATAGTTAAAGATTAGAGCTTTCATTCCGTAAAAGCGAAATGTTATTAACTTTTTTTTACTGGAAATAATTCAATCTTCAACATCCCTTTCCCTTCTTTTGAGCAATATTTTCCTTTTCCTGACCAAAAGTACAATACTTTTCTTGTGTACAATATCTTGTTCTAAACCGTAAAAAACGAATGCAGAACGTTATGAAAACATCAGAAGACGATTCTATACATCCTATTATTTGGACCTGCAAAGTCAAAGGATGTTTCAAGTGCAGTAAATCCAATTGATGTGATCACGGTAGAATAACGTTTGTAAAGTTCGTCATGTATACTTTCTTTGCAACTACTTTTATTGAAATACTTCTGGTTATTGTTTGCTCTGAAATATCTAAGTTTCTGGCAAAGTTTATACAGAAAATTGCAATCTTCCCTCATCAAAATAGCTAAACTTTGACAATCATTTGGAAGTTGTATCAAAACCAATTTCAGTTTTTTTTGTACTGTTTTTGGACTCTTCAGATTAAAATCCAAACGATGCAACAATAAGAACTAAAAAATTAGTATTGCTGGATCTAATGAGCATTTATTACAACAGCTTAGGGATTTTGGCCTGGATGATTCGGGGTTAATGTAATGGAAATATTTTATATTATGAATATCTACTTGATCTTAAGTAGAATATCTCAACATGTGTAAAAGCTGAGAGTGTACAAAGTTTATTTTTGACTTCCACTTCATATTTTATGTATAGGATATACACTGCGACACATTGTTAGCCATCTTCCCACACACACGTATTTGTAAAACAATCCATGTGTTTTCATATGCAAAGTAGACTAATCATATGTCGGACAATTTTTTAGCCCTATAATGCAGTGATACATCATGATTAATCTGAAATAAGATGGATAAGGGCTAGGATCCTTCCAATTTTCAAAGAAACATGATAGTTGATACCGTTTATTTGTCTGGTTTTTCAAATACATCTCTTTCTAGTGTCTGTCAATAGTTGTAATCGAAGGGAGATATTCTGCTTTTAAGAAACACTGTAACAAACAACTGATGGTGACAGGCCGAGGGAAAAGACGATTGAACGGATTTGTAAAGTGAAACAGATATCAGACAGACTGTTTCTAAACTCACTGATTCGTTGAACAGTGAGAGTCAAGCGTTACCCAATAGTTAGCATGTCAGACCGTAGATGCGAGTTTTCGTGGTTCGCACCCCGTTACTGAAAAAATAGAATTATATTATTCGATTAAAGTAGTTCATGAGTTGGCTGTGGTTAGTTTTAATTAGTTGACTGTGTCTAGTCTATCATTTAGTACAGATGGCTTTCGAGTAGCTTTGCACGAAAATCAACAAGCAATAACAACAACAATCTTTACTAATAATCAGGATTAAAACTATGTTGGACCATCCCAGCATGGATTATTATTGAAACTTATATATGGTAGCCGACAACAGTCCAAAAAGCATGAGCATATAAAATACAAGCAGTAAAACATGGCTTCAGTAGTACTTAGAGCCTGAATTGTGGACATTGAACAACTGACTCCCACCCAGCTGGTTCAAAAGTAACTTTGAGGGCTTATAATGCTATAAGTCGGGATTCGATTCCTGCTTTGGCCACGGCGCAGAACACATAGCCTGTTGTGCAGCTTTGTGCTTAAACAAAATGAACAAATGCTTGAATGACTAGAAGTTGATGCAGTCTGATGAGTCGAGTTGCACCAACTTCTGCATTGTTAGTAGAGTAAACATATTATATGTGATGATTCAGTAGAGCAAGCGATGATGATGGATTAATTCTGTATGGGAACGTTCTCGTCAATACTATTGAATCCTAGATAAGGGGCATATAAGATTCAGAATGTATTTGAGCGTTGCTGTTGATCATATATACCTCACAATGCTAGTTTTTCCACGATAATATAATAATACCTTACTCATATTATTTGGAATTAGTTCAAGAGTATGTGATTGACATCAGTTATCTTCCTTAACCCCCACATTCTACGGAACTCGTATACTTAATCATATATAGGTTGTGCCTGATCATTGGATATGATGCTGTGGTATTTTCATTTCTTCACGGTATGTTTCCTCGCTTCGGATTTGAGACCGAGACTTTTCGCACACCAGGCGAATGCTCTACAAACTTAGCTAAAACTCCTAGCACACGCTAGTAAGACATTTTTTTTTTTAACAACTCAGACTGTCACACTGCGTCCTTCTTCATTAACATCATGTGAAACACTTACAGACCATGATCTTCAACAAATGGTCTACTATTAAGTAAAACATCTTCCAACGAAATGGAAATGTCAAAAGTTGATCTCTCCTGATGTTATTAGTAGTCAAATGTGTTTTACTTATTGATATTCACCGTAAAGACGTGCTTCTTTCTGTAAGAAGTGTTTTTTTTTTTACTTTATAATGACAACCATCATTTTTATGGTAAATATAAATATCTCAAGCAGATATTGCATATTTAGAGAAGCGTTACTTTCGTACTTATGTATTGCAGAAGAACTTTAAAAAATGATTGTTTCGCATGTATATGAAAAGCTTTTTTGATATATCACTAAACTCATAATAAAGGTCCAGCCACTATGTTTATAAAAAGTAGCATTTGTTTTTGAAAAACAACAACAGAGAAATACGAACAAACAACCGAAGGAAACTACAGATGCTTGCTTTCAGTTTTATGCAAGTATGTCGGTATATAACATTTATTTGCCAACTGTCATAAAGAGAATGTCCAGCGGTAAGCTTACGGACTGACATCGCTAAAATACGGGGTTTGATTCTTCTCGGTGGATACAGCAGATAGCCTAATGTGGCTTTGCTCTGGAACAACCAACCAAACAACTTGAAGAGAATATCTGGAATACGGGTAAAATACAAATATACTGCGAACAATTATGTGTCACTTCCGTTCTACACAGGATACTTGTGTTGTCTAACAGGGAAACTGACTTTATTCGCAAATGTTTATTTATACTGGGAGAGGAGCTCAATTAATAGATAAAAACATTTTGACAACTAGTATATGAATGGTGAAAACAAGCGAATTCGGAATATACGTACTAAACTAGTGAGGAATAAGGAATAATATTCTACATATGTGCACCAAGTTAATATTCTACATATGTGTACCAAGTTAATATTCTATATATGTGCACCAAATTAATCTACGTATGTGCACCAAGTTAATATTCTACATATGTGCACCAAGTTGATGTTCTACATATGTGCACCAAGTTAATATTCTATATATGTGCACCAGGTTAATATTCTATATATGTGCACCAAGTTAACATTCTACATATATGCACCAAGTTAATATTCTACATATGTGCACCAAGTTAATATTCTATATATGTGCACCAAGTTAATATTCTACATATGTGCACCAAGTTAATATTCTACATATGTTCATGCAAGTTCCACCAAAACACAATAATTTTTGACTGAGTTATAGAGCGAAAAAATAGTGTGAAAAATCAGGCCCCACGTTAACAGATTGAAATTTTTTGGATACTTGTGACCTTGACCTTGGCCCTCCAAAAAAACTAATTACTTCTAGGTTTGTTCATAGTCCAAATGTATACCAACTTTCGTCAAAATCCATTCAGCCGTTTTCGAGAAACCTTACTGACACACACACACACACACATAGGGGTGAAAATATAACCTCCGTCCACCTTCTATGGCGGAGATAATTATAGTATAACTTTTGCCTTTTCATAAGGTCCAATCTTTGTTTCTATTAATCTTCGGAACTTTTTTCCCTTTTGAAATCGATCATTTGATCCCCCGGTCTACGTATTTATGCTCTTTGACCAAAATTTCTACTTTAGTAATGAGTTTCCGCTTTTTGATACACAGTTTTTTTTCTTTCATAAGGTATTCTGTCGTTGCGTTCCCATCCTGTAGATTCCAAATGTCTTATCCCTTAGATTTAAATATTATTATAACAGTAAACAGAAAAATAGATTCATAACAATTGAAGTTAAGTCAAACATAGAAAAATTTTTTTTTTTAGCGTCTATAAAAAAATTGCCGTCAGTCTAAGATACACCGAAATTTGCCGTATATAAAATAATGCGTTTATTGCAGGATTATTAAACATATAGCTACCATATACAACTAAAGTGGCTATATTCACATTGTCTATATTTCAACGAATTCCTTAATTTTACTCCTTGAAATGGATCTTGTAACTGTTTTTATTGTTGTTTGTTTTGTCTTCTTTTCGTTTTATGAAAATGTATAGATTAACTTATATTAATGTGGTCCTTCTTACGGTTAGAGCATAGATCAACTTATTTTAATGTGGTCCCACTTACGGTTAGAGTGTAGATCAACTTATTTTAATGTGGTCCCACTTATGGCTAGGGTGTAGATCAAATCATTTTAATGTGGTCCCACGTACGGTTAGAGTGTAGATCAACTTATTTTAATGTTATCCCTCTTACGGTTAGAGTGTAGATCACCATATTTTAATGTAGTCCCACGTACGGTTAGAGTATAGATCAACTTATTTTAATGTGGTCTCATGTACGGTTGGAAGTATAGCTAATCCCAGAAACCCTAAACCTATGAAACATATGTTCAGTGCATAGACTTAAAGTTTGTTTACTAAGCATAATTTAGATAAATCCCTTCTTGATAAACGTATAACTATAAATTATTATAAATACTAAACA